CAGTGAATGAATTCTTTTGCCAGGTTTCTGGAAGAGATGTGAAGGACGTGGGATCCGGAAGCTGGGCACAAAGGTTCCCACCTCTGGCCAGGCCAGGCAGTCAGAGGCCCTCGTGATAAAGCTGTTGGACACAGGCCGTGTCCCCACTCTGGGCAGTGTCTTTGCCATCCACCCCCTCATGCCCCCGCTGGACCCTGGGACCTCGGTGCACCTGGTCTGCCAAGCAATGGTCTTTAGGGGCATCGGAGCCCAAGGCACCATCATTTCCTCCCCTGGCCACTGCCAACCTCCCAGGCCTTGGGGAAAACAGGAGAGGTGGCAGGGCTGAAGGGCAGGGGAGGGCATCCCAGGCCCCAGGTGGCAAATCTGTGAAGCATGGATCGTGGAGAGGCCTCCAGAGAGTGTGCTGCTTCTGGGCCGGCTGGAGGCCGCTCATTTCCCAGGAACTGGCTGTCACAGCCTGTACGCACATGTGGTCTCCTCCCCGAAATAGGACCTGGGTTTTCTCCGACAGTAAACAGGGCTGGGGCAAAGGTTTTCTTCCACGTCTTCCAGGAGAGAAGGGAAGGCAGAGATTCAGCCACAGACTCTGTAAAGGACAGAGAGGCGGGGCCACCGGGGAAGGATCCCAGGGCTTCTCGAGCCTCTTTGCAGGATCAGAGCCTAGAGCTGAGGGTTCAAACTCAAGAGTGGTGCTTAGCAGGGATGATGCCACAAAAGTGGACTGACTGAGGCCACAGAGTGCGGGTGTGGCAGCAAAAAGGATGACAAAGAGGGGAACTGGAGACAACAGCAGGTGGGAAGTGGCCATCGTCTGCCTGTATGGACTGGCTCAGGTCCCAGGGAGGCCACCAGCTTCTGGATGAGCACCAGGGTGTGCTCGGCTGCTGAGCCTTTCTGGCACACAGGAGCTTTCTAGCCTCCTGCCAAACCCCTTAGGCGGGGCCACCCACGCAGGGGCCCCCAGTTTCACAGCTGGCTGCCCATCTCTGAAGCCATAGTTCAGGATGGCATGCATCCATTGGGAACCCAGGAACTTGGAGCGCAGCCAGGCCACACCCTGTCTGTTTTGCCACAAGGCTGGGTTTGCTTCCTGCCACAATGGAATGGTAAACTTCCACGGATACTTGTGTAAACAGCCAACAGTGTCTGTTTACCTACGGACTTCCCAAGCCGAGTTCCTCCAGGACGTCCTTTTCTTAGAGCCTCCAGGGAACACGTTTCCAAACCCTCACCAGAGTGCGCTGCACGTTTCTGAGACACGCCAGACTGGTCAAACTTGGGCACCCTGCTGCTGAGGCCTCTTTGTCAAGGAGCAACAAGAGGACAGTTGCAAGGCTGCAGATGGATGACAGGCAAGGAGGTGACCGGGAAGTTGGCGCAGTGGGCTTTGGGTGGCAGATACCCCAAAGTCCGTACCTGCCTACACCCTGGACCTTTGTGTGCCTGTCTGTCCAGGAGGTGCACAATGGGTGCTCATGTGGGAATGTTCCTAGCTAAGGACACAAGAGCCATCTAGACTAGCACCCCCAGGAAGGTCATACAGCCCCGCCGGACCTGGCTCTCCAATGCCCATGGGCACGGAGGCAAGGGTGATAATGGCCCAGACTTCACTTCCTGGATTTGGGCCTGAAGGACAAGAGATTTTGAGATAACCATGAACTTCGAGGAAAGGGCCACAGGGAAGAGGGGGCAATCACGTCTTGGGGCCCTCACTGGGCTGGCCAATGTCCATACACACTTGGCTCAGCTCTACACTCTCCCTCCAGCCTTGCCTTTGTACAGACTCTGCCCTGGCTCCCAGGCTGAATTGGATAGCCGAGGGCAAGGTGGGCGGTGACGGCACCGGGGCCAGTCTGGCATACTCAGACCCACCCCTGCCCTTCCAGAAACACTAGTTGGTGAGAACCCCATCCCAAGACATGTGCTGGTGCCGCCTGGAAAAGCCAGGAGTGCTTAGGTTGCTGCAGTAAGCTCTGTATCAGATCGTTCTCCCAGCTGCATGGAAAGGAACAAGATGTAAGGTACAGCATGTGGGACTGATGCAGACCTGGGGCTCCCGAGGAAGCTGGACTGCAGAGAAATGGTAGAGAAGAGAAGTGCTCTTGCAAATCAGGTAATGTTTTCCTGCGGTATGAGGAGGGGTGAATGTGGCCTAGTAACAGACTTATGTCTACGTTTATGGAATTTAGGTCTAGAGAGCCTGGACATTGGCCCCAGACCCTGAGAAGTGAGCAGCTTCCAGGGGTCAGACAATGTTGTGTCACCAGGGTGAGCTGGGAGAGGTCCAGCCCACAGCATAGTGAGTGACAGGGCTGGGACTGGCTGATCGTAAAGCCATCAATTTTGCAGCTCTCCCAGACATGTAACCACTCAGCCTCGCTCACATGTGGTCCATGACTGTGGTCATCTCAGTGCTCTGTCAGCCACACTCCATCTTGGAGGTCACCTGGGAAGCGGGTGTTACAATGTGACAAGGGTTTGAGGAGACCAGCTGGTTCCATCAGCTTTTGAAACTTTCCAGACTGAAATAAATGGTACACAGTCTTAACTTGAACTAGCCACACATCTGCACAGCCCTCAGTTTCTTACTGAGGAAAGTCCGGACTCTTCCCAGAGAGGCATCTTGTCCAATTCCCCTTTCTATCTGAATGAGGAGTGCCGGAGGAATCAGCTGTCTGCACCTGCAGCTCCCCATGCCTTGGAATAAGACAGAGCCCATTCCAGACATCTGGCAACCAGGGCACCTCTGTCCAGAGCAAAGCGGCCGAAGTCAAATCCATGACTTCAGGAAAGATCAAGCCATCTCTCCAGGCCCTAGGACCACGAATGCATCCCTGGGCCAAGCCACTGCCGCTGGACTGTGTACACACCCTCGGGGCTATATAGAGCCCACTTCTGTACTCCGATGGGGTTCACGCAGGATTAGGGAGAAGAGAGAAGATGGAACTGGCCAATACTCGCAAGGGACCTCGCAAGAAAGAGTTGGTGCACAGGTGAATTTTTGAAAAATGGACAGCAATTCTATAAATCATGAGCTTGTGGTGAAAGCAAGCGGCATTCTCCCAGTCGCAGGAATTTTCTGTTGTGTGTTGTTGTGACCTTTTTGACCCCGGCCAGAAACAAACATCCCTTCGGCTGATCTGGTCTCAGATTAGTATGTGGAGGTTAGACCTGTTTTGTCCATCAGATCTCACTTTTTACTGGTCATGGAGTCCCAGCAAGAGTATGTGGAAGACACTTCCCTCTCTAAGGTCCACAGAAAGCACTGGATAATTAGACCTTTGCCTGGACAGGGCCTTAGGGAGAACAAAGCCCCCAGTAGGGCAGCCTCCCTGCTCATGGGGCAGCTCTGGGGAGCGAAGCATTGGAGACCTGACACTGCCTGAGTCTCGGTGGATGAAAGCCAGGAATGGAAGGGGCAGTAGCATTGGAAAGGCCCTGGTCAAGGGGCAGCTCAGTCACTGGGGGAGGACTCAGGGTTATATCTCTATAAACCCATTGTTAAGTGAGAAATGCAAGTAGAAAATCCACTGAATGTCTCCAGATTATACAATTAGCCTAGTCTACTTCAGTTGTCCACAGGGCACTGACATTAGTTTATGCTTGGGAAAGATCATCCAACGCAATGCCTGCTTTGTATCAAACTGTTGAAGAACTCACGTAACTTATTGGATACTGCACTGAAAATGAAAAGCAGCATGGCTCTATGGGCAGCAAATATCTAGAAAATCCTAAGGAGAACAAAGAAGTCAGGGATTGTCTGTGTATACCTCTAACACCTACTTCCTGGTCAAGTATGGGAGGCACTGCTGTCAGCAGTAGACTCAAGCTAGGGACGCCTGATGACACACCCGCCCTTTGGACATGCATCTGACAGGTGTAGCTGTTGCTGTGAGACAGGCGGGAAAAAGCAATTCATCCCAGTGAGCAAATTAAACAAGGGGACCACTTGTCACCTGGCATGTTGGAGAAGACTTTTTACTTTAGATAAAAGCTAAATGTTATCTAGAATGTAAGGAAAAGGTCTTTTGTGCACTGCCAGGAGATAAACTGATACGATCTCCCTAGGAATTTGGTAACATATACCATACGCCATAACAGCATCCATGCTCTTTAGGTCAGGAATCTGAGTATTAAGAATCTAATCTATTCTAGAGAAACGGACAAGGACACAGATTGAGAGAGAAGGACATGGAATTTAAAGTTCTTTGTAACAGTGAAGAACCTAGAGTAAAGGTATGTTAAATATTAGCTTTTGAAACACCACTGAATCGCTCAGGGTATACCCACCCAGTGGAGTATTAGGCAAGCTTTCAGGCATTAAAGCAGGGGAGTGCATGTATGTTTGCTAACCTGAAAAGGTGGTGGTCTCGTGTCAGCAAAGAACACGGGCTGCAGCCAGCACCTGAGCCTGTAGGGACACAGGGCCCGACACACAGAACTGGCTGGTCTGTGAACCCCACAACTCAAACCACAAGGTACACCAGGTGGGGTTTTATGTGGGACGGGAGGTGGTTTTAATTGTCATTTAATATTAGGTACTGGCATCTTGTCTGACAACAGAAGCTGAGTATGGATCCCACGTAAGTTCTCATTTCTGTTCTCAGCTGCTCAGAGCTGCACCCTGGGTTCAGATGTAATTCTCTTTCAGTCTAGATTTTCGCATAGGTGCGCTCTTCCCTCCTTTCTCCTTCACTGCTTACTCCTGTCTTTCGACTCTCATTTAAATTTTACTTCGTCTGTGTCGTGTCTTTGATTGTAATTCTTTGTAGATTTACAGAGCTACAGATCAGCTGTTGGGGAGAGGAAAGGACAGAGAAAGACGTGTGGCCTAAGAGAGTGTGAGGGATGGGATTACTTATTTCAGGACTGAACAGGAGACCAAACTACTTTCGCTTCAAACACAGGCGCGAGGCCCGACTGCTTACTCGTGCCCGCCGCCCCCAGGGTTTCACAGAGGGCTGTAGTGGGCAACCGCTCGCAGAGGTTGTACTCACATGCAAACTTGGATGGTAGGTCAGCACGCCATTGTCACACAGGGTGACGTATTTCTTCTTCCACTCTTTGTTCAATGACTTTCCACTTCGCTTCAACAGCATGCCCTACGAGGGAGGAGGAGCCAGACATAAAGTTTCACGTAAGCAGGGAAAGAAGCAGCAGGTACCATTGTCACTTACACATTTTAACACTTTCTCTGCCTCTTTTGCCATCTTTTTTTAAAATTAAATTTTTTTTCCTCTTTGCCATCTTAAAAGGGAAATTGTACGTAATTTTAGCTGTTAACATGGTTTTTACTTGACTTTTATATCCAACACACAAGTGGTACCCAGCAAATATCCTCAGGTGTCTGTGTACAGGACTTAACTCTGCAGTGCTAATGCATGCTGACAACCTACCACCAGTACCACAGACCTAACTCTGAGCATACTGATGTACTACTTGGTACCTCTCACATCATGATGTCATTCGCAGAGGAAACACCTGGGGGAATAAAGTTTTAAAGAAAGAACCCCAAGCTTCCCTCTCTGAGAATAACACGTTAATCATACTCTGACCCTGTAACAGATCATTCATTTTACTGTTTCCTTCATTTCACATTTTAATTCATGAAAACTGAAATTCCAATTGCAAACTTTAGTGACAATATTTGATAAATGACTTCTGTGTACTTTGGTCTGTTTTTGATGGAATTATAGTAGCTCCCCTGGAAAAAAACACCCACAACCAGAAATCAGCACATGTTTTTGAAGCCACTTTCAGCCCGCTGTTCCCTGAACGGCTGAGGCGAATGTGTTGTTTTGAGCAGTGATTCCCAGCCTGCTCTACCTTCATTCCCTGGCCTCCGTGTGATGAAAACTGACAGCTGACTCCGAGTGGGATCAGGCCCCAGCCAGGACCTCCAGCCCTCTTTCCCAGCCTGGGCTTTGGAGCTACCTGGCTTCGTTCAGTTCAACTCCAGCATGGTTCTCTGTCCCTCCCCTACCACCTTTTAATTCCTGTCCAAGCACAATAGGGAAAATAGAAGAACCCACCCGTTCTCCCTCCTGCTCTCTGTTTATAAGATGACATGACTGCAATAATGACCAAGAAAGCTTAGGACTAACGCTAGTCAATTCACCCAGACCCACGGGGAAGTAGAGTCCCAAATTTTGAGATCTACTCAGACAACTTGAGAAAGCAGGGGCCCTTGAGTCAGTTTCCACTGACCTCTGAGTCTACTTTCCCTCAAGAATGACAGGATGAGAAAACATGAGGTAAGAATTCTCCCCCAATATAAATGAGTTCAAGTTTCGATTACATTGCCACAATACTGCTTTTTCTGTACTCAGATCAGACCAAACTTCACAGACATAAAGGATGAAGAGCCAGCTCTATGAAATACTGACTCTGGGGAAAAATATCTGAGGGTCTGAAACGAATCACAAACAAATCTTTGGAAGATGCTTTCTCTGCAATCTCTTATTATGTAAGGAAAATAATGTGGCAAAATGTGGGATGTCTTGATTTCTTGGAATTGACACCAAGATGAACCACACGGGGCACTGAGACCAGCGCGGCGAGCCTCACCCAGTGGAGTGCATTACTAAGCTGGCAAACAGAGGCAAAAGAGGCTGCATTGCATGGCGCCAATTACTGCAAGAAGCAGTCACCCCCAGAGACACAATAACAAACAAGCAATTGCTTCAAATCACTGAATTTCCCTCCCCAGTGGGATTCCTACAATTTCAAAATTTCGCCTAATAAAACCTGCCCAAGTTCTTCAGTGGGCTCACATTTTTCCATCCTCCACTGCAGATGGAATTCCAACAAAACAAGGGGCTGGGTGTCACTGTGGTGTCACCGGAAGGTTAGAGCTGCTACAAGCTCCACAAGGCGTGTTCCTTTCCATTCAGAAGAGCACGGCTCCTCTGCTAGCTGCCCTGGGGGTGTGTTTGTGAGCAAATCTCACACTTGTAACGGTCCTTCCACCACTAGTAGCTACAAGGACTCATTTATTAAGGGAAAACGTGAGGGGGATAACAGTCCAATCAGGAGGCATGCAAGGAGATGAGTCCACAAGTTTCTGGGGAACTGAATTAGGCTGATTTACTTTGATGCTGAGAAAACGTCTTCCTGAAGGGAGACCCAAATGCTCACTGTTTTAAATAAACTCTATGGTTCACTGGGAGGGTATCTCGGGATTCTGTGTAGGCACCAGTGTGGCGAAGTCAGTAGATCTATGGGGTTCCTGAATCTGGAGCACATTCTCTAACCCTAGGACCCCTCAGACCTCTCGTGGGTTTATGATATGACCCCGTTCCAAAGATTCCAGGAGACCGAGAGCCACCTGCTGCCCCGCCCACCACCTGGCAGCTGGTGCCAAGCAGGCCAGGCCAGGTGTACTTTGTTTTATGGGCCCGTGCCCTGCTGAGAGCAGTCATGTTCACTTTTCCTCGGCAAAAGGTCACAGGCAGTGGAACCTATGGCTCCCTGGTCACAGAGAAGACTGAGCCACAGAAGCAAAGAGACTATTACTAATGGAAAGCAGCAAGTCTGCCATTGCCCTCTCTTTGCAGCTGCGATCTGCACTTCCTGTGGTGCACCTGGGTGGGATATCTGAGGGTCCCAGCCGTCACCTGGCTCAGCACTGGAGGTCTGGAACCACAGCCGCCCTCCCGAAGCACAGACAGAAGGGCTGGAGCTCAGGATCCCTCTGCAACCACCTTGTCTGTAACCCAGGTGCCCTCTGCAAGGAGTGAGACTCCAGGCCCCAAGGAGAGTGGGCTGCACCTCCTGGTTCACAGAGAGCTTCTCCAACTCCGAGGAATGCGGCTGGACAGGACATCACTTTTGGGCAGGCCTGGGGAGCCCGTCTCTTAATCCCTGATCTCCCTGAAATACCACACATGCTTGGAGAGAACAAATGATGGCAACCACTCAAAGACAATGCAGAGGCATCCTTCAAATGCAATGCTCATGGCTTCAGAGAACAGGACTCCCGTTTCTAAACCCCAGGGCGGCCTGGAAATGCTCTGAACTCTGTCTCAGAGGCAGGGAAAACATGGAGGGGAGTGCTGGGAGCAAATCTTGGTCTCAGTGGCAGATCTCAGGAATAGGCAGTGGGGGGACGTTGGAGAAGGACAGAGCTGCTGGGCGGAGGAGGCCTCCAGGGCAGCCCGCTGTCCTGAGTGCAGCTGAGGCTCCGCTGCTAATGCCAGGAAGAACAGGATCTGTATGTGACAGCTCCCACGTTAATCCCAAAATACAAAGAAAGAGAAAAATATGAGATGGATAGGATAACAGGAAACAGGGAGATAACTCTTTTGCAAAAGAGAAGAAGACCAAGAGATGCAGAGAGGGGAGGAAAGAATGAAGATGTGTGGTGTCCACGTGCCAAGTCCACGTGCCAAGTCCCCATGAGGAATGGAATCACTACGTACAGCAAACGCGGACTAATGAAATATTAAAACGGAGGGCCAGGGATTTAGCTCAGGGGTGCTGCTGCCTGCCTTGCAAGCAAGAGCAAGGTCCTGAGTTCAATCCCTGGTACCATAAATAAATAAATAAAGGAAGGAAGAAAAGAGTAGCAACAGAGCCTATTTTTTTTTGCAGCTAACAGAGGCCAAGCCAGACACACCTGCAGGCTGGCTCATGCAGGCTTGGTGTCTGACACTTCAGACCAAGGTCTCAGTGTTGCTTGGGGTGCCCCTGCCCTCTGGAAGCTCAGGTTCTGGTGGCAGCAGATCCTGAGGTCCGTTGGAAATACCACCTACCCTGCAGGCAGCCTGCACACAGCCAGACTTCCTGGTACCACGGGCACAGCACTTCCTCTCCATCTCAAGCCACCTGCCTCCCAAACTTGTGCTTCCTGCCTGGCCCTGAAGGTACATCAGTCTTGACCTGCCACAGGTGTATGGGGCTGGGGGTGGAGCAGGGGATTAGAGACAGACAGATGAAGCCAGTGTCAAGCCTGCCTATGCAGTGTGGGCATCTTGGACCAGCAGCATCGGCCTCACTGAGGGCTCCCCAGCTGCATAACATCTGGCCCTTGGCCCAAGGGTCTCAAGACCCCAGAGGAGCTGAGCAGACATGCAAGTCTGCACACCACTGGAAGCCAGACCTACTATTCTCAGGAGCAACAGCTTCCCTAAAACAGAATCCCGAGTGCCCGTTTTAATGGCTATGTAAAAGTGACTCAGGAATGGCCACCGGCTTCTACTGCCCAGGCTGGCACTGATGAGGTCACAGGTCAAGTGGCACCAACGGGGACAGTGCAAAGGGAGACTTGGTATGGAGAGAATTCACTTTCTGGTAGAGTCAACGCCACAGAGTGTAGTGCTGCACACTGTATGGGACAAAGGGACTTCTTGTGCAGATGTAGAAACACGAGACCTGGGGTCACAGCACAACACAGCCACACGAAGGGAAACCACAGGCACTTACGCTGTGGCAGTGAGGAAGCTTTCATGTCCTGTGGTGCTTCTGTTTCGGCAAAGCCATGTCATCCTTCATGGTAAACAAGTGCTGTCAATTTAAATGTGATTCTTAAAAAAAAAAATGCCAGTTGCAGTTATTCTGAATTATTTGGGGCTTTACATTTACTTAAGAGCGATCAATACAGGCAATTAAAACTTAGTTTTATGCTTCGATATAAATGGTCTGATTATGAGAGAAATGGTCAAAATCAACGCTGGGGGTACCCATCAAATTTTTGTTGTTCTTGTTCTTTTAAAGGGGTTGAAACTGTTGCAATAGTACAGTATTTGGGAAGGACTGGTTGTCATGGAGACCTGGAATTCCTGTAAAAGGCTTCTGCCTTCAGAGGTGAGCTTTCTGGAAGGTGATGGATTATGTGGGTGCCGTATCACCAGTGGATTCGCCCACAGGTAAGTTCATGGCTGTGCATGCTGTTAGGAGGTGGGGCCTCCCGAATGTGCCGTTAAAGGCGTGGGTCGCTGGCTGCATGACCCGGAAGGAAGGGTGGGTTCTTGTTCCCAGCTCCGTCCCTCCCCCTCTGCTCCCTGGGTGAGCAGCTGTGCCCCACCAGGTCCTTCCACCGCCGTTCCTGCCTTGGAGCCAGCTGAGCACACATGGACTGAACCCACTGCAACCACGAGTCACA